TAACGTCTCTTGTGCTTTACTTTACGATAAATAAAGTGGTAGGTTTATACTGTGTAACTTAACTTTTTCAGCCTCACATTGTCCACTGCAGGACAGGTATTATTCACTCCATCTTACAGGAATGAAAAGCGTCCATACTACATCAATTAATCTTTATTAACGTTGCCGGACCATGTAATAAATCAAATTATATTATTATGGTCCCAGGCTAGTTGTGTGCACCTCACGGAAAGAGTGGATTGACAACGCTGAATGTTCTAGTCAGAAATGTCCCCAACTGTACATTTGAATACATTAGAAATAAATATTAAATTTTACATGGCATATTTGCATTCTTCACCCGTTAAGCTTTAATTTGATACCTTACTTGATGGGTTTGCAGAAACTTTCAAATTCGACCTAATTCAGTTGGGTGGAGTTTGAGGTAAGGGCTATGCTGAAAAATGCTCAATATTACAAGGGTGACATCCGTCATTTTCTTGATGCATAAAGTTACAACTACCTCCAAGAAAAGAAGAAAAAACAGTATGCTGCCTGTCTACCCGACTATAAAATAGTGTTAGCGAGTATAACCTTTTCCTTACCCCATCACCTTGTAGTGAGGCCCAACTGGTTTATATGAGTAAATGACCAACAAGAGTAGCTATCTTTGACAGTCCTCACCTGATGTTGCTTGTCTGAGACTCAAGGTTTCAGGTGAGTGATGAGTGAGTCGATGTGTAACAGGTGAGTTACAACCCAGACATCGAGAACCTAGACAAAAATTTTAGCCGGTGGGGACCAAAGAAATACCAAACTGGCCAAAAACATTATAAAAATATAAGTTATGAACACATGCATAGTGAAGATTAACGTGCTGAATGCTTAGAAGGTTGACTTGTATATGTATCTGTTAAATTAGACAGAAGAGGGAGAGAGCGAAACGAATTTGACGGACAAACATATTTTGAGTTAAACCTAGTAAAGACGGGGTGGACGGGTGTCAGTCTCCACACCTTGAGGAACTTGATGGACGATTCATCATCATTTGAATCTACAGTTTCATCAATCGCCGTACCAGTTTCTCTTTATTGTCAACATGTTCCTTATTTTATCACACTCCTCTCCAACACTTAACATCGTCGACAGTGCCTGGACTCGCATATAAATTGTGTACGATCCAGAAAGAATTTTACAAGTTATTATTATTATTGTTGTTTTTACTGATATTACTATTTTTATTAATATTATTGTATTGTTATTTTATTATTATGAGTTGTAGTAGTTGTATTGGTTGCCGTTGTTGTTATATTTGTTTATCAGTCACGTTCACTTCGTGGCTTCTGTGTATTTATAGGGAACGTACGGGATAGTTCATGGACTTTATTTTCATTCAAGATTTTTGAGGGTTTTAATGCTGTCATTAGTGTAGTGGTCATGGGTTTTGAGAGTAGCCACGTGTTGACTTATCCTATCCTCGTGCGTGATAGCCAAGTAGTGATGCGTAGATCCTAGTCAATATATGATTCAGGCCCCAAGTGACTATGTGCGAACCCCTTTTCTCCACGTGTTCATACTTCCCCTCTTGCTGCCTATTGTTCTGGGACGCATTCTTCTAGCTCCCCACCACTCTCGATGATTTATTGATAAACAATATACAAGAAATTAAAAACCCGATCACATTGTTGAAATATAGAATGCTCGCAGGTGTAAAGATTTCCAAAGAATTGTTTCCCTGTCATTGTTAAGTTAGGTAGAGAGAGAGTGAGAGGCAGAGACCGAGCATCCAAATGATACCGAGTGGTTTTTCTTTGGCAGCTACATAAACACGTTCATCAGATTTTTAACAATACAACCAAGGGAGTCCTCCCTCCATCCAGGCTCAATATCAACGAAATAAACACCCGAAAAAAAAGAACTTTACTTCGATGATTAGTAGAGCGGCGGCGTCTTTGGCTGTTGTGGGGCGTGTGAAGCCGGAGGATCAATAACCAGGTATCGGCTATTACATCCCTCATCGAGTAGTCTTTTGTGCCTGGTCCCTGGTCGAGCCGGGGAGCCAAAATAACAACCGTATCATAGCTCCATTGATCACCCAGACTTTGACAATGCTCTTTGTTGTGCTGCTGGAGGGAAGGGAGGAGTGCATATCAGGCAGGTTTACAAATCGGTGCCTAGGGGGGCCACGGAATATTTGCCTTACTGTCAGCCACGGAGGGGTGAAATATGACTTCATTAACAGCCCCTCTCACTGAAACTAGTTTTATTTATGAAATCTCTTTGGAAGTTTGTGTACCCGTCCTCACCACATTTTCACTGAGTGTTCATCAGTGGAGGTGATGTGTTTTATGCCGGGTGTTTGTCTTGTACCAAAGCTTTATGAGTCATCTACGAGTTTATCTGAGTTAATAACGATTTTTTTTCTTCACGGCGTGAGTGGGAAGTACTTCTGATGTTGATGTTGTAAGAAGGCTGTGTTAATGTTTCTTTTGGCCTCTACATCTGCCTGTACATTGATGACCTGTATGTTGACGGTAGGCTGCGTCTCTACCGACATAAGAATGGCTTATATGTAGCTACTTACATATTGATGGTGTTTGTGACCTGTGTTTCTATAACTGCACATTGATGCTATTAGTGGTCTATGTATATACTTATATAATAATGGTGTAAATGGCTTGTGTGTTTCTCTTAGGTATATATTGGTAAATGTGTTTGTGTGTGTGTGTGTGTTTGTGTGTGTGTGTGTGTGTGTGTGTGCATATTTGGTAAGATGTGTGTGTTTGTTTACATATATACACATACATACATATACACAAGTAAGGTGTGTACCATCGACTGTATTTGAAAAAGTTTCAAAATCTTGTTTACATGTTTTAGAGCGTAGTGGCAACAATGTGGAGGACTTTTATGAGTAGATATTAAACACATTTGAACATATAAATAAACATAACATTTTTCACACCTCGACGCGAATATTTACATGCACATGAGAACATAATTGTTTTTATAATCTGAGCATCTGTTCTGTACACACGTTTGTTTATACACGTGGAGTTTGTTTATTTTTTGTGTGAGCGAAGATACTTTTACACAAACGTGAAAACAAATATATTTTTTCAACACTTTTAAACTTTGAGTATTAGTTTCAGTTCCTAATATGTCAGTACCATGGCCAGAAGTTCACTAAAACTCCTCTGGAAGTGATGTAGTTGTACACTGTACTGTACACCTCGGTAGATAAAGTATGTTTCTTCAGGTGGCTCTGTGTGTAAGTAAATAAACAGCGTCCAAGTCATGTGTGTGTTGTATAAACCAATTCTAACCTAACCTAACCTAACCTAACCTAACCTAACCTAATCCCTCGGGTGGTTCTTTATATGTTACTCTGTAATTTGATAAAGTGGGTGACAGGAGACAACAGACACATCCACATTTTCACCAGAATAAACTTCTTCTTGTTAGGTTTTATCCATATCTTAATCTCATATGTTTAGCCGTCAGCATCAGGGTGACAAAATTGCCTCTCGGAGACTCGTATTATTATTATTATTATTATTATTATTATTATTATTATTATTATTACACCAATAGCAGTCATTTTTGTTCCACATTTTTTTTCTGCTGACGCTCGTAGCTGTATGAGACCCAGGGGTGATAAATGGCAGCAGTGGGAGGAAAAAGCAGTAGAGGGGCGGAAGGAGAACCCAGATAAGTATATTAGGAGGGGGCGTTCTCAGGAGCAGTTAGTTCACGTCAACCAGAGGCGCTAACAGGCGGTACTCGGACAAATGAACCACAATCACCACCACTATATCCCCCACCACTACCACTACTACCACCACTACTACTGCTACCACTACCACCACTTTCTCTGATGGGCTGCCCTACCACCACCACCTACCATCCACCATTGAGCATCATTAGTGCCTCTCACAAGGAGGAAGACTCTCAGCGCCTCTCCCCCATAATATCTCTTCCACTTTCCTTTTCCTGGTATAATATTTCCACATATTTTTACACTGTGTTTAGCTCTATGAAGTTTAATAAAAAATTCGGTCCAGCTTCACATTTAACTATAAAGGACAAGTTCAAGTTGTCTCTTCGTGGTGATACTGGTGATGACAACACCTGGATTTATTTAGAAACGTATATAGATTGTAGTTAATCTGCCTCATATCGATCTGTTTTTTTATGTTTAGTGTTAATTCCACTCCACCGCCACCATCATCATCATCATCATCATCATCATCATCATTATCATCATCATCATCAGTATTATTATTATTATTATTATTATTATTATTATTATTAATATTATTATTATTATTATTATTATTATTATTATTATTATTTTTATTATTATTTTATTATTATTATTATTATTATTATTATTATTATTATTATTATTATTATTATTATTTTATTCTTCTTCTTATTATTATTATTAGCGTCTGTATTTACACACCTGTTATCACTCCGTCTCTCTTTTCATACAGGTGTACTCGATACTACCTCAGCTTCCTCTCTCGCCTCACTTTTCTCTTACTTGTCCTCCACAAACCCCTCAATCGCCCACTCACCCTCTCTCACTCACCTCTCAAACTCCCACTCACTTGTCCTTCACACAACTCTCAATCGCCCACTCACTTACCTCTCAATCGCCCACTCTCTTCACTTCCTTTCCTATCAACTGCTCTTATATTATGAAACAAAGAGAGTAGCCAAACATATTATTAAAGTAAACTCCCAATTAAGGAATAACTGAGCCTATTTACCAGTTTATCAGACGACCTAAACGGAAGTATTAATGAGAGCTTTGTCAAAATATTTACACACTATTTAGGTTTTATGTAAATATGGTAATGTTATTTGTAATTCATTATTTTATATCGTGTGTGTGTGTGTGTGTGTGTGTGTGTGTGTGTGTGTGTGTGTGTGTGCGCGAGTGCGAGTGTATGCACGTGTGTGTGTTTGCGCGCACCTGCGTGCATAAGAGACAGATACAGAGCTAATGGGTAATGGAGACTGATGCAGAGAGTGAGAGATAGAAAGATATATATATATATATATATATATATATATATATATATAGAGAGAGAGAGAGAGTACATTATATGAGTATACAGGTTAAGTATATCCTTTAATAAGAAATAGCGTGTTTGTAATGTGAAATAGAAAGGCAGAGAGATATGGCGTGTGTTAAAGATACAAAATCACTGGGCGCTGGGTGTAATTTTCAATGAAGAATATTGGTGTTAAAAATCCCGCCAGGTCAACACATTATCCCCCGCATTAGTTTAGTGAACACAGTCAGCGTATTAGGTTGTCGGTGTTTAACAATGGGCTTGACATAGCTCTGGCCGGACTACAGCCTTTGTGAATGTGTATTGGGTAATTTCCTAATATGCTTATCTTAATTGCAGGTTGGTGTTGGGGCTCTCCGGCCGTTTTGGGATTCCACGTGAGTTATCTCGCCTGTTTTACATTTTCTTGTTTCGTGCACCACCGGAAAATGACCGGTCTTACTTCCAGACCTTTCCGAGGTTTGAGAGTGTTTATATTCCTATTATTGATAAAAGGTGAATTATTTGGGTAAGGAAAATATGTATAATATTAGGCAGGTTTTGATAAATATATATATATATATATATATATATATATATATATATATATATATATATATATATATATATATATATATATATATATATATATATATATATATATATATATATGTGTGTGTGTGTGTGTGTTGGTGTCTGTGTGTGTTGGTGACTGTGTGTGTTGGTGTCTGTAATAAAATAATATTAATATTAATAATAATTAACGGTTTATTGAAAGAGCATGGGAGCCGGAAGGCTGAAAATATACAGGTACATAATTGGGGAATGGGTCTCTTGATTTACAAATAATATACAAGTAACATAAGTGGTACAAATATGATATATATTAACTAGGTGGGTAGAAGGTCAAACTACAGGGCATTTCAACATAGTGACAGTGCAAAAAGTAGGATTGACTGGGAGTGAATACACTGGTTGATTACAAGTTATTGATAATTTTTACAATGGTTGGGACTGGACTGTTCTTAAAGCGATCAGTTCGTGCACGTATGGGCTGGATGTGTGTGTTGGTGTCTGTGTCTGTGTATTGGTGTCTGAGTGTGTGTGTGTGTGTGTGTGTGTGTGTGTGTGTGTGTGTGTGTGTGTGTGTGTGTGTGTATCTGTCTGTCTGTCTGTCTGTGTGTGTGATGTGTAATAATAATAATAATAATAATTAACGGTTTATTGAAAGAGCATGGCAGCCGGAAGGCTGAAAATATACAATTACATAATTGGGGAATGGGTCTCTTGATTTACAAATGATGTACAAGTAACATAAGTGATACAAATATGACATATAATAATTAGGTGTTGCTAATTTTTACAATGGTTGGGACTGGGCTGTTCTTGTAGCAATCAGTTCGTGCTCGTATGGGCTGGTGTGTGGCCAGGACAGTAGCTTGGGGCAATGCAGGTGTGCTCCATCCTTCAGGTTACGTCAGGTGAAGCTGTGAGGTCAGGTTAGGTCAGATCCAGTCACAATCAGTATTGCTGTGTTTTTGAGCTTTTCCTTCGAGTTGAAATTGCCACTTTTCTATATCACTTGTGGGTTAATCGTCAATCTTTGCACTGTACTGTTGGTGTGAGGTTGTTGATATATCCAGATGGGAAGGAGGAGATGGGGAAGGGGAGAGCCCGACAGACCGGGCTGGCAGCTGTCTCCATGGTCAAGAGACCACGGCCGCGTTAGCGGGCAGCGCCGACTGCACACGTCCTTACCCGAAGAAGGCTGAGGTGTGTGTGTGTGTGTGTGTGTGTGTGTGTGTTTGTGTGTGTGTGTGTGTGTGTGTGTGTGTGTGTGTGTGTGTGTGTGTGTGTGTGTGTGTGTGTGTGTGTGTGTTGGTGTGTGTGTGTGTGTGTTGGTGTGTGTGTGTGTGTGTTGGTGTGTGTGTGTGTGTTGGTGTGTGTGTGTGTGTGTCTGTCTGTCTGTCTGCCTGCCAGTCTGTCTGTGTGTGTGTGTGTGTGTGTCTCGCTCTGTGTGTGTGTGTGTGTGTGTGTGTGTGTGTGTGTGTGTGTGTGTGTGTGTGTCTCGCTCTGTGTGTGTGTGTGTGTGTGTGTGTGTGTGTGTGTGTCTGTCTGTCTGCCAGTCTGTCTGTGTGTGTGTGTGTGTGTGTGTGTGTGTGTGCGCGTGTGTGTTGATGGGTGTGTCTGTATCTGTCTGTGTGTGTGTGTGTGTGTGTGTGGTAGTAGTAGTAGTAATAGCAGTAGTTAAGACATTCTTACGACCTTGGCAGCACGTATTCCTGGCCATAACCACAGTAAAGGTCGTGTAGTCTGACTTCCCCGTGCTGCTGTACTCTCTGTGTCCGTCCACCATCCAGTTAACAAGTCTGAAAACGCTACATAATAATCGTTAGTGTGAAAATATCCATGGTAACAGTGATAGAAGATTGCAGTAACATTAAGTGGTAGACGAAGGCAATATAATGAGAGGAGAATATAATAACGCTATGAAGACAATAAGTAACAGAAGTATCTAGTAACAATAAATGATAGAAGAAAGTAATCGCACGAAAACCCGGGGAAGGGGAAAGAAAGGGGTGGGAGGGAAAAGGGGAAGAGAAGGGGAGCGAAGGGAGCGGGTAGGGTTGGGGAGGGAAGGGGAGGTAGGTCAAGGAACACTACCAGGGTGCAGCAAGGGAGCCGGCGGGCAGGCACCAGCGTCACATAATTAGTGTAATTTGTAATTTGGACAGTGTAAACAATTTCAATTCCAGTTTCGTGCATGAGGGGTCGTGCGAGATATTAACAGGAAGTTGTTTCCGCCACGACGAGCAGGAGAAACAAGAGGACGTAAGTAAGGCACCGTGTTAGCAGTGTCTTCTTCTTCCTCGGCTTTTCTCAAGGCCTTGTAAGCATTTGTCTCCAAACATTTTATAATTCCTCAGTTTAAATACACCTTTGTAGTGTTAGGGATATTTGCCTCAGAACTAGAAATTACCTTGAAACGTTTAATTCTAGTTTCAAGTATTAGGGAAGGTTCTCTTATACTTCGCTAAGGCTTTCCTCATAACGTTTGATAATAATTATTGTTTCTGAACACTCAATAGAATTTGTCAAGACGTTTAATTACAATTTGTTGCAGATTTTGGATACAAATGCAGTTATTGATTTATTTGAAATGAAATCTCGATATATGTGCCTTGTAAATAATGAAATCGAAACTACGACTATTATTATTATTATTATTATTATTATTATTATTATTATTATTATTATTATTATTATTATTATTATTATTATTATTATTATTACTATTATTATTATTATTATTATTATTATTATTATTATTATTATTATTATTACTATTATTATTATTATTATTATTATTATTATTATTATTATTATTATTATTATTACTCTTCCTGGGTTCTCCTAAAACCGCTTTCACTGTGAAATACTGAATGTTTAGTTAGATAGTTAGTATTATGGCGCAACGTCCCCATTATTACAGTGGACATTACAGTAACAATGTCCTTCCATTATCCTGGTGGCACTTACAGGCGCAGTGTCCCACGTTACTGTTGTGGCACATAAGGGCACATGATGTTCATCGGTGTTATCGTGGAACGTTGAGGCGCACAATGGCCCCAGCAGAAACACAGTGCACCATGTTATTAATATAGCACTTAAAGGCGCACAGCGTCTCGTTATTGTTGTAGTACTTACAGTAGCAGTGTCCTACGTTACTATAGTGGCACTTAAAGGCGTGGATGTCGCCAAGATATGGTCTGATTTACAATACATTAAAGAACACTTTGTATTTTTTATAATATTGTCTGTCAACAACTAGTCTATGTGATGCTCTTGGTTCTCACCTCTCATCAACAGTTTCACCGTTGGTCATTTTTTTTATGAAATTAGCACGAAATTACTTATAGGGAATTCCTTTTTTTATAGGAATCAGGCCTTTTAAGTCCTCTTTTAATATTACGCTAAATGAAAGAATGGAGCGATTTTTCACAATGAATATTATTTAATTGTGTACTTGCAGAATAAACAGTGAAAGGTGGCGATTTTTTTTTTAATTTTGGCGAATGTCTTGGAAAAATAGGATAATATTATGAAATTACCGAAATACAGGAATATATCAAGTATTTGGCGAATAAATAGCCAAAGTGGCGATTATTTTCATGTTGGTGAACGTCACTGTGATGATTTTTTTTCTACACCAATCCCAACTTCTCTTCTTTCGTCTCCTTCCTGCTGTTCGTTCATGTTTCTTTTGTTCTGTATTTGATATTCTTGTTTTTCTTTGTATTCTCCTCCCTCGCCCTCTCTCCGTTCCGTCTCCTCACTTTACCCTATTGTGTATTTCCCTTTGTGTGTGTGTGTGTGTGTGTGTGTGTGTGTGTGTGTGTGGTTGCAGTCAGCGCTCCTACCTCACCACATAAATCAACTCACGCACAGCCAACATCCAGTTTATCATCATCAAAACCCCTATACCCCCAAAAGTCCTATGGTGACGGACGAGTGGCGACAGGGACAGGCAGAGATGACTGCCGAGAGTCTCTAGTCACAAATCTGCACATGGGCGGCACAGAAAAGATGGTCGTTTATGCACTGGGATCTAGGCAGCAGTGCAATCCGGTCCTGTCTGTGCGACTGAGCAGCCCTTTCGGGGAGCCACTCTGCTCACCCCACATGGGGAGGGGGCTAGAAAAGGTGCTCTAAACATATCCTGCCTAAAAATCCAGAGTGAGTTATATATCTCACTCTTGGCAGCAGCTGACGGCGTTAACAGGCAAGTTGTCGCTTTGGCTTCTGTGAGACGGCTCAGTTTAGTGAACAAGTCCATTCGCTTATAACGGAACTACCAGATATTAGTGTAAGTAGATGTACGTAGTACTGGCTTTGTATCGATCATAATAAGATAAAATTTCAACAGCAGAATAACTAAGAGTCAAAAGTTGCACAGTGGAGAAGTGACCCCCCCCTCCCCCCACTCCCAGTGCCATATGTGTGTCTGCTGGGGGGGGGGGGTCACTGTCCATTGCCGGCGCCTTCCAGGGTTACTTACGACAAACACGCTCACTTGCTTTCTTAATTACCCAGTGACCTAGACAGTAATCTTCAACAAGTTAAGGTCAGTGGTTATTAACTTCCAGTCCCCGTCTCGTAAAGGCCGTGGTCATTTGAGCACAGCTTGGTGAAACGTTAAGGGGCGGAGGAGAGACAGATGGGCGACCGTTTCCTGCTGTATTGTCGACACCCGTGGCCAGTCAGGAGAGCGATCCAATGTTGCAGGACGTGTTAGCTTATACAGGTGTAGACGACACACTCAGCTGTGGCTAGTGTAGAGGTGATGACACAGTGACGTGGTTATTGTTAAGGTAGTGATGACAGTGACGTGGTTATT